CGAGATGACTCTATGGCTCCTTGCTTTGGTCGCCGCCCACATGTAAATCCCAACACAGCCACAGTTTTAGTTAAAGGAATAGTACACCCAAAACATGATTAGCCTTCATTTTCTACTCACCCCCATGCTGAACAACACTCTGGAGTACTTTTTTGATATCTCAAATGCATCTGGAGATCTGGGAGGCTTCTTGCTGTCTGCTGACATTCAAATAATGGAGGTCTATGGTGCCCGAGGCAGAAAGGTCCATAAAAGTCCACAAAAAACGTGTCAATATTCCTCCATACTGCTCGTCCAATGTATTCCAAGTGTCCTGAGTGGGTAGCGTCCATAATTTACTCGAAACGAAGTCATTTAGAATGTTTTTAGAGCATAAACAGTAGTGTATAGGATTTCCTAAAAGCGCGTTCACGAGTCTACGGAAACCGCGGCAGACCAATCCAGACGAAAGTGCGCATTCAGCGTCTGCTCTGCCGATAATGCAAGCAGAAATGTGCTGTTTACCTGTGCAAAGAAAGAAACAACGAAAGAAAAATGTCTGAGGACTTCAGTGTTGAGGAAGAGCATGAGTTCTTTGCCGAGCTGAATGCGCACTTTCATCTGGTTTGGTCTGCCGCGGTTTCCGTAGACTCGTGAACGCGCTTTCAGGAAATCCTATACACTACTGTTTATGCTCTAAAAACATTCTAAATGACTTCGTTTCGAGTAAATTATGGACGCTTCCCACTCAGGACACTTGGAATACATTGGACGAGCAGTATGGAGGAATATTGACACGTTTTTTGTGGACTTTTATGGACCTTTCTGCCTCGGGCACCATGGACCTCCATTATTTGAATGTCAGCAGACAGCAAGAAGCCTCCCAGATCTCCAGATGCATTTGAGATATCAAAAAAGTACTCCAGAGTGTTGTTCAGCATGGGGGTGAGTAGAAAATGAAGGCTAATCATGTTTTGGGTGTACTATTCCTTTAATATTGATGCTAACATGTTCTCACTTAGTTTGATCTTCTTCACCCAAACATTCTCTACAATCAGCTGGATTGATGATAACTTATTAATAATTACATTTTTTAAGGGGGAATGTTATGTTGCATCAGACTGAGGAAGTTTATAACCAGGCTGAACGTTTTAGTCGTTTGTAGCTCTGTTGCCTTGAAGTAAGAGGTTCCTTCTCCTGCAGGGAGTTAGTATGTCATCTCCCTCTGAACGTCTGGGTTCTCTCTGGGTACTCCACAACATGCTGCAGGTTATGGGTGTATACACCCTTTAAGCCATAGACTATGGATAACTTGGTAGCTACATAGAATGAACAGTAATAAAACATAATTTCTTGGTTCACTGAACATTCAACAACAGCAGCTGACCTATATTAAACACTTTAACTGCAGATACTCTGAAAGGGTTTGAATAAATTTAAAACTGCTGCTTCTCTGTGCTCTGGGAGCTAGCGGTGCTACTTCACACATAGAACAGGAAGAATTAAAAGAGGTTCTGTTTGTGGTTCTGCCTCCCTGCTTCTCTCCCACCCACCTGCCATCAAAGCCAGATCAATGCTGAAGTCGGAGGACTGGTGAGGTTTCCCCACTGAACAAACATGAGTCCCAAAGTCTGTGCTCTGAACCTGCTGGATGGTGAGCTTGATGCTGCCGGGTCTGTAGTTCATGGTGTAACCGGTGCTACAGTTCTGGTAGTTTCTGTGCTTGATGTAGTGACAGAGCAGCTGTTTGTGAGGACTCGTCCACCGCATGGTGAGCTGCTCGATGTTCGTCTGGTCCTCATAGTCATAAAGGCAGGGCAAAGAGGCACCCTGCCCCGGCCGACAGAACACCTTCACAGTGCCGCCTGGAGACACAGAGCTAAGGGTGAACAATCAGAACCGGCCCGCAGCCCCATCCCTAAACTACAAGACCAAACAGGTGAGGAAAGGTGTCAGTTCACATGCATGGTTGTTCTGTATCACTTGGTGCTGAGGTGGGTCATATATCTGCTGACTGAAGGTTTTCATCACAAGCTGCTGAACTTTAGGGAAAACAGAGTCAGACTGGATGTCATAAAACATTGATCACTGAGATGTTACATCAGAACAGAGCCACCACTCCTGGTGGTAGAACTAATAAGAGTTCTGCTAGAAGCTTTTTATTTCAGAACCAGTTTGGATCGGTGTCTGAACACCCAACTTAAGCCATAATGCTGCTGATATGAGGGGTTCCCCTTCATTATGTCCTCCCACAGCATGATGCTGCCACCTCCATGCCTGACAGTTTCTACAGCATCCCTCTTGTTGCTGTGTTCAAAGGCTCAATCTTGGTTTGGATCGACCACCGGACCATGAAGATGTTGGGCTCATCCACCTGGATGTTTGCCTGTAGCGATAAGCTTGAAGGTCCTGATCCTGGAGCAGGACATTCTGACTCCAAAGTGATATTAAATCATTCAATAGTATTTATAGAAAATTCAAACCTCTGCTTTCTGTTAAAAATGATTTCTTTCTGATAAAAAATTCAAGCCAAATTACTAAGACCTTCGTGTCCGGGGTAGAGGAACTGAGTAGCTCCTCTAGGGAGAGACTTTTACACCATAAATAATCCCTGCTGCAACCAGACTCTATAATGCAACACTACAACAGCAATAACTTGTGCAATAACTAATGTGCAAGTTACCATTTGATACCCTGTGCAATAACTTTCTCTATATTTGACACCCAGTGCAATATAAAAACCATCTATGTAAATACCCTGTGCAATAACCCTGTATTACCAAAGAAAAGGATTTCAGCTGTCATATATATATATATATATATATATATATATATATATATACATACATACATACATACGCTGGAAAAAATCGAAATCTAGGTAAGTCATTTTTTCTTAAAATAAGTTAGAGTAGATAAGAGACATTTTGCCAATTAAACAACATAATTTACACTTAAAATAAGAAAACACAATCGCATTGTCTTATATCAAGTGCATATTATCTAATTATCTTATTTTAAGAGTAAAAATACTAATTCCATTGGCTAACTATCTCAACTATCTCATTTACCTACACAAATTAAGGTTAAATACACTTAATATAAGCATTTTTTTTCTGATTTCTAGATTGATTTTCAAGTGTTAGCTCAGGAATTGCACTGGAAAAACGATCTAGAAATAAGTAAAAATTTCTTAAATTAAGTGTATTTGAGTAGGTAAATTAGATAGTTTGCCAACGGAATGAGTATTTGGCAAGATGTCTCTTTTACTCCCTTAATCCAAAGGCAAATGCACTTATTTTAAGAAAAAAATGACTCGTCTAGATTTTGATTTTTTCCAGTGTGATCCTTTCTGCAGAAAACGTCCAGTTTTAGTCAAAGCTACTCAGAAGGATCTGATCCTAAATCCCATCAGTTTAGAAAACTAGCAGCAACACATCCAGGATGAGAAGCTGTACCTTCAGCTCAGTCTAGTTGGGGTAACTTACCTTCTCCAACAAGGCGTGACAGAACCAGTCCAAGGTACAGGGTCTGCTCCACAGCTGTCGACCACATTTGTTCGACCCGAAATGTTTAAATATTCACAACCAGCCTGGGAACCTGAAGGATTCAAAGTTCTGCTAAAACTGTTTTTCCTTTTGCTTCTGACAGCCGTGTCGGTTTCCAAGCCTCCAGAGTTTCTGTCTGTTTGTGGTGTCCTGCTGTAACCCGAAGCCTCTTCAGAATAGATTCACTGAGAAGCAGATGAGGAGGAGGATCTGCCTTCATCCCTGGAGTCTGAGCAGAACAGCAACCTGCTAATTATCTGATCTGAAGGATTCCAGGAAGCTGAAGCAACAGATTTAAACCAGGCAGGTTTCATCCAGAACCTCTGCAGAACTGCAAATCAGAACTGGACCTAAAGAACTTTCACTATCATAGTTTAATTAATGGGTTACTGAGATTCTGCATAGATGATGGAGGAGCTGGTTTTTTCATTAAAATCTAAAAGATCTTTGTCTAATTTTTTAACAGATTTAGAAATTTAGTTAAGAAATTTAGCATTAAAGCTCAAATATTTTCCTAATGGAGTAAAATGAGCCTATTACTCTCTCTCTCTCACTCTGACCAAACTACAAAGGAGATTTTTTTAGACCTTTAACTGAACAGATTTGTGATTTTAAAGGAAGATTCTCAGCTCACAGTGGTTCTGACCCAATAAAATTAAAATCTTTCTGATTTTTTCAGGTTTTTCTGTCTCCCTCGTTTTCTGTTTTTTTTTTTCTTTCTGGGTGATTCTGGAAGATCTCCTTCATACAGCATTTTTTTCCTATCGCTTGATATTTCTGCTTTTCTTGAATAAAAGAAATAAATCTTCTGTTTTTCAACTTTGCATTTAAGAAATAAACAGAAATACTAAAAGAAAACAAAAGTGTTGTAAAAGCACAAATAGCATATGTTTATTGACAAAAGTCACTGAAAACTTACAGAAGAAATGAATCTGATCACAGACAAAACAGCAGCTATAAACAATGTTTAGTTTTTACAAACACATATTTATTCACAACAAAACCTTCCCCTTTTATTCACAAACTCTTTGATATAATTGGAAATAAAGATTGAACAAACTGTAAGGGGAATTATGGACAAACAATCTGCCCTCTGCCACCAGGGGGAGCTATTTCACCTTTTTTATTTAATCATGAGCATCTTTTTCATTTTTAATCACTGTCTCTGAGGTGATAATGTTCAAATTTTGGACAAAAAAATACATCAAAGAATGAAAACTAGAAGCTGATGTTTAATTTCACCAAAAACTCTTAAGCTTAAAGTTGACATATTAATTTAATAAAACAGAATCAGACTAATTTCAGCCTATCTTTGGGAAACATCTTGCTTTAGCAGGTCCAGACTACCATCACAGACCTGCCTGGATGTTTTGAACCTGTGTGTGAATTGGCTGGTGTTCCTGTTCTGCCTGAAGAGAAAATTTGTTCCATCATGTTTTTTCCCTGAACCAAAGTAGGACCTCAGACATCTGGCCTCGACACAGAAAGACATTTTGCTCTCCTCCTGACAGCTGCTGCTGAGGAGAAGGAGGAGGAGGATGAAGAGGAAGTCACTGGATGCCTCTGAATAAACACATGGCAAACACCATGGCAAAGAGCTGAAGGAGGGAGAAAAGTGAACAGCCAATCAGACACAAAGGAGGAAAAACAGTAACAGTAATTGATTTTGGATATTCTAAAATTCAGCTGCTTAAGGTGGAAGCATGTTGGAGTAGCTCTGATAGATAGATTCTGATATTCTTTTACTTCAGTTCCTACAATAATGAACCCTGGATCACAGGTGATCTGATGGAACAGCTAAACAAGAAAAAAGGGCAGTCAGGAGGAAAGACGGGGAATTAATGAGGAGAATATCAACTTAAGGTCACGATCAGAGAAAGCAAGGAGGTGTAGAGGAAGAGACTGGAAAACAAGCTGCAGCAGAACAAAATATGAGATGAAGAGGATGACGGGCTTCGAGCAGAAGGATGATCAGACAGACGGTCTGGACCAACAAAATGAATCCATTCTTTAAAACATCCAGTTCAGGAACAAACTCAGCAGCGTTTTTTCATGGGCGCACAGAAGAGCATGACACAAAAAAATGGGCAAGGTATACAAATATATTAAAATAGCTGCATGAAGTGAAATTTCTTCAGTTAAAATTTAATTGAAATTATATGTCTTCTAACTGAAAATATTTATTTTTGGCTCAAAAATGTTCGGATGTTTGGATTATCGTTAAAATCAAAATAAAAATCCCTTAGCATGGCAAAAAAAAAAAGCAACTCAGGAAATTGTAGCTATATAAATATAAAAAAAGATCAAATAAAGCTATTTTTTGGAATATTAGGTGAATATAGGTTCATCATTTAGGAATTTTATATATTTTCTTTAACTTAATTTAAGTTAGAATTATAGTTTTCTATAAAATCAGAATTAGAACTAAAAAAAAACTGATAAATTCAGCTGTAAAAGTTTTATTTGTTTTGAAAAAAACAGATGAAAACTGGGATCCTATCTCAATATCACTGAAGCTATCACCTTATTGTTTTTTTTAAATAATTAGTAAAACAGAATAAAAAAATAAATAAAAAAGTTTAATAGATCCAAAGGAACCATGTCTGCTCCAGCGCATTGCATCATTACAATATCTCTTAGTATTATGTCTTTAGTACAGGGGCACTGACCCCCGCTGGCCCCTGTCTAGAACCGCCCATGCTCCTGCTTCTATTAGTTTATTATCAGCCAGATCAGAAGCTGGTGCTGCTCCCTCCGTCTTCCACCTGTCTGTATCTAGATGTCAAGTAAAGAGGCAAGTGGAGCGACTGAATGGTAAAGAGTCACCGGGTCCTGATGGTGTCAGCCCCAGATTTCCTGAAGGCCTGTGCAGAGCAGCTCTGGGGGACTCTACTGCATCTCTTTCACCTTAGTCTGACCCTGGAGACAGTTCCAGTGATGTAGACGACTTCCTGCTTCGTTCCAGGACCAAAGAAGGTCCAGGACCACATCACGAAGGTCTTAGAGACACTTCTGTTGGTTCACCTCAGCAAGCTCCTGCAGTTTGCTTATCACCATGGAGATGGAGTTGATGATGCCATCATACACCTGCTTCAACAAACCCACTGTCATTTAGACAAGGCGGGCAGCACTGTGAGGATCATGGTTTTGATTTCTCCAGAACATTTAACACCATTCAGCCTGACTGACTTTGGGAGAAACTCCAGAAGACTCAGCTGGAGGCATCAACAATCACCTGGATCAAAGACCTCCTGACAAACAGACCGAAGAGTCAGATGTCTGATCAATAGTCAGCACCACAGGGGATGGTACTCTCTCCATTCCTTTTTCTATGTTCACCTCTGACTTCCAGGACCAGACAGAGTCCTGTCATCTACAGAAATACTGGGATGACTCTGCAGACATTGGGTGCATCAAAGATGGACCAGAAGCTGAGAACAGAGAGATGGGGAACCGCTTTGTGGCATGGTGTGGAAAGAATCATCTGATCCTGAATGCCAACAAAACAAGGAGATGATGGTAGATTTAAGAAGAAACAGGAACAAGTTGAATCCTGTTAACATCCTGGGAGAAGAAGTGGTGGAGTAGAAATACTGTGGTGTTCACAAACCGAACTAGAGACACAACTATAAAGCCGTCTACAGGAAGGGACGCAGCAGACTGGACTTCTAGAGGAAGCTCAGGTCCTTCAGATGCTGCAGATCTGCTATCAGTCTGCTGAGGAGAGTCTGATCTCTTCCTCCATCATCTGCTGAGGTAACAGCATCAGAGGTAATGACTGAAAGAAGCTCAACCAGCTGATAGAGAAAGGAACTCCTCTAGAACCTCTGGAGATGATTTCACAGAGAAAGAAGAAGATGATGAACAACAGTGAGCATCCTGTTTATCAAACTGTTAGAAAACAACTGAGAGTCTTCAGTCAGAGGCTTCAAGACGGACCTCTACAGGAGATCTATTGTTCTTACACGTACAACACCTTGTTGATAAAACTATAAGAATAAGTTTCCTTTCGCAATCAACAAACTATTTTTTAATTTAATTTAAATTTATTTTATTTCCAATTGACCTGCTATAAAAGAAAGCAATAGAAAACGTGTTCATTTAACATCTGGAGACTTTGTCCCCAGAGACATGCTGCTCTGAGCAGAAAACACATCGCCTCATTTTTAGAAGAACAGATTGGAGCTAGAATGACCATAAAGAGGACTTAGTAATAACAGAAAAATTTGAAAATGCAAAATGACAAGATGGATGGGAGGAGGCATTGGGAGAAAAACAGCTTATTAACAAGGAGGGTCTGAGGTCTGGAGGTGGAGGCAATGACATCAATCACAGGATGGTGTGAAACAACTGGAGGCAAGCAGAGAGACTGAGGGAGGATGACTAATTAACAGAAAGTTGATAAATACATTTAAAAAAAATCTGATTCTGTCCATATCTTAGTCACTCACAGAAAGACAAAAAAATATTTTATGTGCTGTAAAAAAAAAAAAAGTGAAAAAACAGGACCTACTTCGACCGTCAGCACCACGATGACCAGAGCTCCTGCAGAGTAGATGTACGTCTCAAAGTATTCAACCATCGCTGAGTAGCAGCCCTGCAGGTCAAACACAGACAGGATACCAAAGAGTTTCTCTCTTTTTATTTGATCCTCACCTCTTCTTTAACCTTTATTCAAACCTTGTTGTGGCGAAACGCCACGCTGCCGCTGACGCACTGCTCCACGCCAGCCTCTCCGAGGTACCCGGTCACCTGGCAGCAGGCCTCAGGAACCATTTTGTTGGGATTAAGGAGCCTGAAGAGGCTCTCTTCGAAGTCTTCAGAGCCGCTGATACCACAGCAGTCGAACTGTAAGCAAGGATACATGCTGCTAAACTCTGATGTTCAAGCGAGTTGGCTTCTGCTGGACCAATGGCTCACCGTTGTCATGACGACGTTCCATGTTGATGTAAAGACGTCGGTGTTGTTACGGCCTTGATAATGACGTTTCAGCTCCCTGCTGAAGTATTCTCTGGTTAACTGGGACGAGACACAAACAACATGCTTAAAAATCTTTCCTTATTTCTACAACCTGTTTTATTTTAACAGCAACCTACAAAAGGTGCAAAACTACCTCAAAAAATCTTAAGGAACCAACATCAACACAATATTAAACCAAGTTCAAAACCAGCCTCCAATGAACACAGAACTAGAAATAAAGGTATATAGAATCAGCATCAATCCACATTTAAATAAAGTCCACAACCATCCAGGACCAGTTTATATCCGTCTGAAAGTGAGACTTGAACAAGTCGGAACCAAGCTCCCATCCAGCCTAAAACATAAAATAAAATAAAATATCAGTTCAAACTATAATCCAGGTTAACTCCTAAAAGCAGCCTTGACTGAAGTCAAATGCATCGCTGGAAAAATGATCTAGAAATAAGTAAAAATTACCTAAATTAAGTGTATTTACACTTAATTTGAATAGGTAAATGAGATGATTAGCCAACGGAATGAGAATTTTTACTCTTAAAGTAAGATATTTAGATAAAATGTACTTGAAATAAGACAATTCAATTGCGTTTTCTTATTTTAAATGTAAATTTTCATTGTTCCATTTGCAAAATGTCTCTTTAACATTCTCAATTCAAGAACAAATTCACTTATTTTAAGAAAAAATTACTTATCTAGATTAAAATTTTTTCCAGTGATTAAACATCACAAACTATACTGGTCTGAAATATGCAAACCAGTAGGAATCAATCAGTGAAAATCCAGATTAAAAAGCAGAACTGTATATAAAATAGACAACAACTGAAACCAATCAAATTTTATTTGGACTTAAACAAAACGAACTTATGCATTTGTGCATTTGTTCTTAAATTGAGGAGGTGAGACACTTTGCCAACGGAACAAGACAATTTACATTTAAAATAAGAAAAAACAATTGCTTTGTCTTATTTCAAGCTTATATTATCTAATTATTTTATTTTAGGAGTAAAAATACTAATTCCATTGGCAGATTATCTTATTCACGTGTTCAAATTAAGGGTAAATACACTTAATTTAAGAAATTTTTTACTTATTTCTAGATGATTTTTGCAGTGCAGAAAAAAAAAAAAAAAAAAACGAGATAAAAATCTTAACAGCTAAAACATGGGTAAAAAATAAAATTCACCCAATCAATCAATAGAAATAGGGTAAAGATAAAAGGAATAAAAGATTCAAAAATTAAATAAAACAGATAGAATGTATCAACTTAGCTCTGAAAATAGTCTGGAAGAAAACCAGTCTGAATCCAAAATAAGATCTATAACCAAGTTAGAAACCATTCAAACATCCACATCAAAATAATGTCAAACAAAGTCAGAAACTAAACTCAAAAATGCTGCTGAAGATTCTGAGTCATCCAGGTCAAAGTCATTCCACAAAAAGAAAATTAAAAACATTCAACTGGACTTTGTTTCCAAGTTTGAATGGAAACAAAGTCCAGTGGATTGATTTTAATTTTCTTTTTTTTTTGGATAAACTCAAAAATCTCCAAGAACCAACATTGATCTGAAACAATTCCAAACCAATCCACGGAGAACCAGGTATGAACCCGTCAGAATCACGTCTAAAATGAAATCCATCAAATTCTAAAACTAATCTGAACTCAACAACAAATCTGATTCAAAAGTAATTTAGAAAGCAGCAAAAAAAAAAATTCTTGATTTAAATAAAATACTGTCTAAAAATACAGGGTTAGTTTAGAAAATACTTAAACATTCTCAGCCTGACTGCATTTAATCATTTCTTCAAAGCAGGACGGGGCGGCGGCACCGCAGCTTTCTACCTTCATGCACTGGAAAAACGATCTAGAAATAAGTACGAATTTCTTAAATTAAGTGTATTTACCCTAAATTTGATTAGGTAAATGAGATAGTTTGCCAATCGAATGAGTATTTTCACTCTTAGAATAAGATAATTAGATAATATGCGCTTTAAATAAGACAATACAATTTTTCTTTCTTATTTTAAATGTAAATTGTCTCGTTCCATTGGCAAAACATCTCACTTTCATCCTCAATTTAAGAGAAAGGACACTTATTTTAAGAAAAATTGACTGATGTAGATTCCAATTTTATATTCATGAGAAACTAGAATCTTTAGTGATGATATACTGGTGGAGATTCTCAGTCAACCAGGTCATAGTCGTTCCAATCCACTGGACTTTGTTTCCAAGTTTGAAGACGTTTCGCTTCCCATCCAGGAAGCTTTTCCAATTCAAAATGTCAGAATTAGAATCTTTAAATAGTTGCCCAACAAAGCCTTGTTTTGGCTTAGAAAACATGCAAATTGAACCAGCAGAACGGGTCCACCCGTTAGGTATGGGGAGTCGTTTGGGTTCTGTGTTAGCCTGCAATGCCTCATACCTGTCAATGTTTCTGAAAGGGGGGTCGTTAGGGTCATTGTTGGCCTGGCTGAGCAGGCGGGATGTTTTGGTTCCCTGTATGGGGGTGCGGGTTGAAATGATAGCGGGAAGGAATCAACTCTATTGCTGCATTGTAGGTTTTTGAGAGTGAAACCTAACTCCACCCCCTCTGTTAAAGGTTGTTTTTTCCCTCTTTGTATACACAGAGTGTATACAAAATGAAATTTCATTTTGTACAGCTTTCAGACAGTGAATTAGTAGCAGCATACCAGTGTAATGAACATTTTAATTTCATAAAGTGCAGCAGTGATCAAATGTAAACCGTGAGGGAGAAAAAACAGCGCAAAAAACCCCCAACGCATTGATATGGAAGTTTCAAGACAAATATATATTTATGTTATCAATTCCTTCATAACCACAAGTTAGTGTTTGTCTGTATAATCGAAAATATAAATAGAAAATACAAAAAACAACACAAAAGAAATCTAGTATGAAAAAGAATGATCAAAACACATCCTGAACCAGATTCCGATTCAGCTGGAAATATAGATTGAATATAGCCTCGTGAGACCATCCTGATCTCGCGAGCTTTCAAGGTTTCACTCGCAGATCAGTCTGGAGACTCTCCGTTAAAGAAAATTTGGAGCCGTTCACCAAACGAACGTCCAATCAGCGTTGGCTTTGAGGCGGGTTGAGGTGTGACGCAACGAGAAGCGCGACAGTTCAGTCTAAAGAACATGGCGGCTTCAGCCGATGAAACTAGCGTTAGCGTGGCTATCGAGCAAGTTTTATCGGAATTACAGAGTATTTCTTCACTGAAAGAAGAGCAAAACACTGCTCTGGAGGCTTTTCTCAGAGGAAAAGATGTTTTTGCTCTTCTCCCGACTGGTTTCGGCAAGAGTTTGATCTATCAATTGGCTCCTCTTCGTCGTCGCTCTGTTAGTACGTCATATGCTTCGTTGATCTGATTGGTTTATTTGGCCCGTCTATCACCAACATAGGCCAATCAGCTAACCAGTATTTTCGCCCCTTCCCAAAATTACTTCAACGGAAGGTTTCCAGATGGATATGCGGAGCAAATCCATCTGGCGGAGTCAGGTTAGATAGAATCCAGGTGTAAATCCAAAATGTCTTTATTTGATTCCTGAAAGGTGTCTTTTTCCAACCAGGTGATTCAATGAGATCTTCTCTGCAAGGTCTGATCTAAAGACAGAACTCACCTGTTCCCTGAAGAGAAACGCCAGGATAGCAGCTGCCAGTTCCACCAGGAAGATAAGCAGGATGAACATGAAGAACTAAAAAAAAAAACAAGACAGAAACTGTTACTTGCAGAATTTCCTATATATTCTTCAGTTTTTTTGTTTTTTTTTCTTAACAGTGTCATGTCTGGAAATGTGGCAATAAGAATAATTGTCTTGATGCCAAAAAGAGCCCAACAGATTTTAATTTCACAAGTGGAGCAATATGGCAATTGCCATATTGCTCCACTTGTTTCATGCATATAAATTGCTTTATTATAATTATGCAGGAAGTTTTACAGTTTATATGGACACTGCAATGTAAATAGAGCAAAAAAACAGAAGAAGAAAAAGGAAAAAAAAGAGAAAAGATGAAAGAAAGAGGAGATAATAAGGAGACAATGACAATTCTTCAGTTTCTATAAACTAACCCGTTTTTCTGTAAAATATTTATCGTCTGAGCTCAGGAATGAAGCCTCCTGCAAACACTGATATGCGTTTCTACTTCTCTGTCTGAAATATGTCCAGTTAAAGCCCTAAAGTGAGCTCAGCATTAACACCACCTGCCTTCTTTTCTAATGAGAGTGACTCACAAACAGCAGCAGACATCTGTTCTCTCGGATGGCTCCACAGCAGCCCAGGAAGCCCAGCAGGAACAGCATGCCCCCCATGGCCAGGATGATGTAGACCCCGGTGAACAGCACAGGGTTAACAGCCACAATCTCCCTGAAGCCCATTGGGTCCACCAACACCCAGACCCCAATACTCAGCAGGAAGGAGCCACCCAGCTGCAGCAACAGACAGGGGTGGGGCAGAATCCAGGGGAACTGGTTAATGCTATTAGCAATGTTCATCATAGAGTGTGCACTGGTTTTATTAGATCCACAAGGCCGATTCTGTTGTTACGCTGATGATACCCAGCTATCGTGATGACTCTAATCACTCACATGGACAGCAGGCATGAAGAATTAAAATATTTGGCTTTAAACTCAGGGACTCAGACCAAAGTGTTCAGACCAGGGGTCTTAAAACTTTGTCCTCAGGACCTCCATCTAAGGTCCTTATCTCCAGTAGAGACAGCAGATTTAAATTCATTTATTACTTCCTTATCATTCATCAATGGTTACAGAGGCCTGTTAATCACCCATTTATCTAAGTCAAGAGTGTGGAGCCAATAGAACAACTGAAATATGCAGAACAGTTGCTCCTAAAGGCCATGGATGCAGACCCCTGGCTAAGTGATCCACCGTTTACCGGAGAAACCCTTTAGACATGAAAAATATCCTAAACCAGTGAAATGCTGAGAAACGATTGTTTGCATTAGTTTGGAGTTCCTGGGCCTAACAGGATCTGGACCTTCCTGGTTCTCCTCACATTGGGGTGGGAGAAGAACCTGGAACCATCTCTACAGACTCCTCTACTTCAATATCTGGGTTTGATGCACGGAATAAATACTCAGTTAGCATCTGCAAGAAATAATCCTTCTGCATTTATGACGTGTTTACAGGTGGAGCCGGTCGGTAAGGAGGTTCTGTAATTCATAGTATAGAGTAGTATAGAGTATAGACACTGGAAAACAATCTAGAAATAAGTAAAAATTTCTTAAATTAAGTGTATTTACCCTTAATTTGAGTAGGTAAATGAGATAGTTTGCCAATGGAATGAGTATTTTTACTCCTAACATAAGATAATTACATACCATGCACTTGAAATAAGACAATGCAATTGTGTTTTCTTATTTTGAGTATAAATCCTCTTGTTCCATCGGCAAAATGTATCTTTAACCTCCTCAATCCAAGAACAAAGGCACTTATTTTAAGAAAAAATGACTTATCTAGATTTCTATTTTTTCAAGTGGAGAAGTATCGGGTGTTTGGTGTCATACAACCAGAAGCTTCTCTGGGAGATGAGAGAGAAAGAGGTGAACTCACAAAGATGAAGAAGTTGAAGATGAACATGAGGTATTTCATACAGCTCAGACAGTCGCCCTCCATGGCTGAACGTTCTCTGCGCCGCTGTTAAGAACCACAGAGAACAACAGGTCAGACCAAATCAGCATAGACTGAAACATCACTAACAGATCCAGAGGTTCAGATCTTCATCCAGGAAGTCATTTTAATGGTTTTCTCATTACTGACATAAAACTATAAACATTAAGGATGTTTCAGACATCTGGGATCATTCTGTCTAAGTCAAATAAAGCCTCATCTTTATGGTTTTGTCAGATACGTTGCTTCCATATGAGAGACTTGGGCTGCAGAGAAGCCAAAGAGGTCAACAGCTAAATGATGGAGAAAAGAAACCAGGCTTTGACAGGGAATGATTTTCAGCCCTGGGATATTTCCATCTACAACGGCCCACTTATGGATCCCCGCAAAAAAAAAAATAGAAGCACAGTCAAACGCGTGCGTCTCAAATGTGAAATGCAATACGAATACACATTGTGGATTAACCAATCTATCTTCAAGCATCACATGACACCCATCGCAAAGACTTCTATAATGCAAGAGGTTGTACTGGCTTTGGTTATTAACGCGGATGCAAAATGACTGCTGCTGGGTTGCCAGATGCCACTGACTCACGCTTTCCAGCCCAAAATATGTTCATAAACCGCCTGGATATACGACATCTTGCCAAATTGCATCAAAGTCTATTGATCTCTTAGGCCATAAATCAAAAGTAACTGTCATCCTAAACTGCCAGATTGGGAAACATCCCAACCTGGCAACAATGCACGTAAGACGGGAAACATTAGCCTTTAGATGCAAAATCCTAACCTGACTCCACCAGATGGATTTGCTCCGCATATCCATCTGGAAACCTTCCGTTGAAGTAATGTTGGGAAGGGGCAAAAATACTGGTTGGCTGATTGGCCTATGTTGGTGATAGACGGGCCAAATAAACCAATCAAATCAACGAAGCATATGACGTACTAACAGAGCGACGACGAAGAGGAGCCAATTGATAGATCAAACTCTTGCCGAAACCAGTCGGGAGAAGAGCAAAAACATCTTTTCCTCTGAGAAAAGCCTCCAGAGCAGTGTTTTGCTCTTCTTTCAGTGAAGAAATACTCTGTAATTCCGATAAAACCTGCTCGATAGCCACGCTAACGCTAGTTTCATCGGCTGAAGCCGCCATGTTCTTTAGACTGAACTGTCGCGCTTCTCGCTGCGTCACACCTCAACCCGCCTCAAAGCCAACGCTGATTGGATGTTCGTTTGGTGAACGGCTCCAAATTTTCTTTAACGGAGAGTCTCCAGACTGATTAGCGAGTGAAACCTTGAAAGCTTGCGAGATCAGGATGGTCTCACTAGCAAAACCCCATCATGCATCGCAATATGTTTTTGCAAAACATTCGAGCATAAATTCGCCAAATATAAGAGGAACATTGTAGCTTGGTTAAAAGAAAGCATTTTAGTTTTATTATAAGTTAGTTTTTTGCAAAGATTTTACAGTTTGAAGAAATAGAAAATTAAACCATATGCCAACCGTCACAAAGATGTGCATGACAAGGAAGGGCTATATATACTGCATGCATCATTTGGGTACTTAACATTAAATTACTTCTTTAGTTCCTTGAGTTATTTACTCTCACAGGTAGGAGCTTCGGCCGGAGAGTAAGTGTTGGGGCCGGTATGATTTAAGCAGAGATGGGAAGTAACGAAGTACAGATACTTCATTACTGTACTCAAGTAGATTTTTCTGATATTTTTAATTTAATTTACTACTTATTTTTATGGCGACTTTTTAAGTGAAAGTGAAAGCCCTTTGGGAAACTCCTCCAACTCCCATTGTCATTGTGACACAGCACACACAAGTGAACACTGGACACCATGAAATTGCATTTATGCCTCACCCGTGCAAGGGGGCAGCCCTCAATGGCGCCCCAAGGGAGCAGTGTGGCGGGACGGTACCATGCTCAGGGTACCTCAGTCATGGAGGAGGATGGGGGAGAGCGCTGGTTAATTACTCCCCCCACCAACCTGGCGGGTCGGGAGTCGAACCGGTAACCTTTGGGATCCAAGTCTGACACCCTAACCGCTCACCCACGACCGCCCCTTTTACTTCTACTCCTTACATTTTTACACAAATATCTGTACTTTCTACTCCTTACATTTTAAAAAATTGGCTCGTTACTTTAGTTTTGAATCATTTCAATGGCGTTACCGTCATCAATACCAAATTCAATCTAATTGGATGGGAATCTACGTTGCATTTGACGCACCACTACAAGATGAATCGACAGATTCGGCGGTATTCATTGGCGGCAAATAATTGCAGCTTGGTGGCGGTGGCGTTAGCATAGTAGCATGGACGACAAGATGATTGAAAATGAACACAACGGAGATCTAGTCCTATTGGCAGACATCCATTTAAAATGTAGGCAACGGCATGAAAAAAAGTGGTTTCTACTTTTACTTTTATACTTTAAGTAAATTTACAAGCCTGTACTTTGTTACTTTTACTTGAGTAAAGAAGATGAATCAGTACTTCCACTTTTACCAGAGTATTTTTTAACAAGTTTCTGTACTTTTACTCAAGTACGGAAAGTGAGTACTTTTGCCATCTCTGGATTTAAGGCATGCTGATATTAGGACCGGCCTACCGGAGAAATGCCCGGTATCACAGATTACCAATCCCAGCCTGCTTTGAAGGAGAGAAGGAACTTAAATACTAAAAAAATAGGTAAATAAGCAGAACTAAGAGATGCCCAACTTTTAGGATCCTGACCAGTTTAACACAAGGTCAGGATCTAAAACAATATCCCAACTTTGCACAGCTCTGTTCAATCCTGGAGGGATAAAACAGAGGATGGAACTAAATGAAAACCTGTTGGAGGGACGGGGGCGGAAATTCATCCCCCAGCAGGAAAACCAGCCCGACTTCCAGCAAGAGAGTCAATCCATGGTTTAGTTTAAGAATGCAAACCCAAAGTGAGTGTCTGCTGGCAGAGGAGGGTCTACATGGTGTCACGATGGAAACAGTCATGAAAAACGTGTTTTATTTACCAGCTCGGCTTTGGTCGGTCTGCAGCAGCTAATCCCAGTTCAGGCTGCAACAGAGACACAAGCAGAAAAGTTTTAGGGATGTGAATACTTTAGTACAGCAAGATATGATTGTCTGCTTCTTTTAGTGTGTGTTTGAACAAAGGAGACCCCCCCCCATCCCTACTGTAATCTCTGCTGATTTTAGGTCTTTAGCTGAAGCCTGCAGGGCAGCGATCTGGCAGCGAGGCGACGCTCTGGGCTGGACCGTCAGCTTCTGGATGAAACACAAACACTTTGATTCAGCTGTGGGGACGTGACACTGACAGGCTGTCCTGTTAAATGCAGGGCTGCTGGCAGCGGCACAGGTTGACGTACGCGGGGCCATCTGCGGGGGTGTGAACGGGACCAACTGGCCCCTGATGGCGTCTCAGCCACCTGCCACCTTCTCTATCTGCACAGTTAATCACATTTCACTGTTTGTGTTTATTTAGTTATTAGATCATCGCAGCAACTGTTCACTGTGAGGACATTTTAAATGTTGCGAGCTGCTCATGTTCAGGTTCAACAAACCGATGCAGCTTCAGTTCAGACGGCGAGCCGAACGTTTCCAAAAACCACATCCTGAAAGTAAGGAGAGACCCACAGATCCTCGGGCTGACAGTGGAAACAGACCTGAACCAGCAATGAATCCAGTTCATTTCAACAAAATATAAACATTTCATTTAAATATGAATTAAAAACTCAAAACAAAATGAATTAGTCATGCTCTAAAATACAGTTATGTTTAAGATAAATAGATATAAAAAATGTTTAACTGGGCTGCAGCACAAAAAGCTAAATTCTGCTAAAAAACAAACAAACTCTAAAAACTAATAAAAAATAAAAAATAAAAAGAATTTAATAATGATAATAATAAAAGTGAATGTGGTCAACAATTTTTTATACCCTTTAATATTTTTTATGAAATTAAATCCAAAAGGCGATAATCATATTAAACAGCATGAATAAATGAATACAATCAAAAAGGCGATTTTTACTGGGTTACCTTATATTAACCCTATAATGCCAAATGTATCATATTTGATACATACGGTTTCTGAAAGGTTTTGCGTCTGACACCTTTTGCATAATTTTATGGTAAAAACTTTGCTCAAAATCCTATTGTACACAATCAGATATACCTGATAACAGAGGGCAGAAGACTACACAAAAATAATCTTGACTTATCGCATAGTAATAAATTATTAATATCAAAAATGTATTTCTGTTTTTTCTCTTTACATATTTTGTTAAATAAGGAATTCAAACCAAAAAAAAGTAATTTTCTGTTTTGTTTTATTCTTGGATCGGGCTTTAAAGGGTTAACTGGTTTATGGGAAGCAGGAAGTTCTTCAAATTTATCTGAAAAAAATAAACTGGAAAATATCGGCTGAACTAGATTTAAAACAAATTCATTAGTTCTTTGTTAGACTGTGCAACAAAAGAAATGAAATACTTTATCGTTTATTATTTCTATTCCTTAGGTTGATTCTTCAAAGTTGACCTCAAGCCCCTCTCACACCCTGACAGTTTAGACCAGCGTATGCCTGACGTGAAAATCTGGCAAAAACGCTGGCATACGTTGGATAGGTTATGGGTATGTTTTATATAAGTTATGAGCACGCTGAAACACGCTGACACATGTCGACAGACGGCAAGTAAGTAGGGAAATTTCCCGACGTATGCCAGACGGCGCCATACGTGGGGCATAAGTTACAGGTCAGTTATCTGATCTTTGACATACTTTAAGTGTCAGTTACTCATAAGTTGTGGCGTCTAGTTTATCAAAAAACCTATGAGTAACTTGTGCATAACTTGCGCGTAACTTATCAAGAACTTCTCTCCAACGCATATCAACGCACTTGATGTGTTTCAGACGAGCGCTGAACATGTTTTTTCCAGCTATTGTATAATGGCAGCATTTTGGTATAAAGGAGGAAACCGTCAGTTCTCCTCCAGACTTCATCCCCATCATACGCTGAGCCAGAAGGTTAAGTGTGAATGATCCTCCCTGCGTTCACTAACCTGACTTTGCTCCGCATATCCATCAGGAAACCTTCCGTTGAAGTAATTTTGGGAAGGGGCGAAAATACTGGTTAGATGATTGGCCTATGTTGGTGATAGACGAGCCAAATAAACCAATCAGATCAACGAAGCATATGACGTACTAACAGAGCGACGACGAAAACACAACAACAAGCCAGTCGGGAGAAGATCAAAAACATCTTTTCCTCTGAGAAAAGCCTCCAGAGCAGTGTTTTGCTCTTCTTTCAGTGAAGAAATACTCTGTAATTCCGTTAAAACTTGCTCGATAACCACGCTAACGCTAGTTTCATCGGCTGAAGCCGCCATGTTCTTTAGACTGAACTGTCGCGCTTCTCGTTGCGTCACACCTCAACCCGCTCAAAGCCAACGCTGATTGGACGTTCGTTTGGTGAACGGCTCCAAATTCTTTTCAACGGAGAGTCTCCAGACTGATCTGCGAGTAAAACCTTGAAAGCTCGTGAGATCGTGATGGTCTCACGATGCTATGCGTTCACACCCACGGCCAAATAACTTCCTAGCAGACATGACGTTGATTCTGTTGTGACTGCAAACCTTCTTAGTTTTTCTTTTTTCTTTTTATTTATTCCTCTTTTTTTTGGTGGGCGGTTAACAGCAGCTGGGCTAATACCGCAACCAAAGACATGTTTTTATGCACACCGGGCGCATCGCTGATCCTGAGGGGAGCAGCTTTAACTGATGCTTCATAATGCCGCCGTCAATTATGCATAATTTAGGCTGTCGTTAGACATAAGGTCTGGACTCGTTATGAAAACACTATGTGTACGCCCAAAAGTGAAACAATACATAGAAAGTTCAGCGTATGCCAGCGTTTTAGGAGATACTGAGACGTCTGGCATACGCTGGCTAAATCGGCAAGGGGTGAGAGGGCAGCTTAGAAACAATGGATCTAGAGCTCATTTCAGCTTCAGTGTGAAGCTTCTACTTAGAGAAAGTGAAGCTTTCTCTGATGCATTCTGGGTAAATACTGCCTCTTCTGGATGTTATGGTAATAAAGCAAACTGCATGTTGGTGGGAGTTAGAGCACCAAAGAGGACAAGCTGAGCAGCAGTTCAATCTTTGATGGTTGAAGTCTGACATTAGCATTTTCGACACGGCGGAGGATGCAAAGCTGGATGAAGATGAGAACATGGAGATATTTCCTGTTGGCAGGAAGCCTGTTGGCCTGAGGTCAGCTGAGCAACCTGCTGTGTCGCCTGCAATAAGGAGAGCAGTGATTGGTCAGACTAATGTGGTTCTGGTGCACTAAGGAGGCGGCGGTCTGTTCACAGATCTTCTCTGTACTGCTGTGACCCGACTCTTTAACAGAAGCCCACCAGCAGTCCCCACCGTCGCTCTGTTGTCCCAGTTTGCCAGTTGGTGTTTGGATGCCAGCAGGACCTGATCAGATAAAAATGGATCAGTGGGTTTTATTTGTATTCACCTCGCTGGGTTCTGACCTTATTTCAGTGACTGTCTGACCCAATCAGAGCAACTCTTTCTGCTCTGCGAAAGAATATACTGATCATCAGAATTCAGGTCAGTGTTCCTAATGGAAACACGTTCCTGCGCTCCAGATGAAGGAGCGTTAGATGGGAGAACTGGTCCCCTGAAGTAAAGCTGCACACTGGGACCAGTTTGAACATGAATGTTTGTCCATCCTGTCAGACATGGATGGATGGATGCTGCACAGAGCAGAGCCAGGGTGGAGGCTGAAACATCTGCTGCAGAAAGAGTCTGTCTGCTGCTTCAGCTGCAGGTTGATAAACATGCCGATAATCTGTGGAGCACGCTGGAGTCAGCAGAGCTCCTGAAAACATCTGATAATCCAGTAAATGAGTCGACTTTTATTGGTCTTAATTAGATCAGGCTTTGTGCCTCAGAGGGGATGTGCATTCATTACAGCACCGGCCTTGTTTCTGTTTGATCCCACCAACGAAGTTATTTAATTAGCTGCAGGCTCATATCAGTAAGGATGCACAACACTGTGGTATTAATATGAAAAACAGGCATGACTCTGTGCACAAGTCTAAGGTCACTGATTGGCTGATAATCATTTGCAAACAGGTGGAAATTCCAAAACTACAGCAGAGACTAAATGGAGCCTCTGGGGAAGTTTCTCCATGAGTTCAGTCACATCATTATCTCATCGTTTCTTTTCCTCATGCATTTTACATCCAGAATACTTCAGATTATGGTTTTCTACCTCATATATGCGGACGCACTGTGTACTGTATGTATTCTCTGCACTTTTTTCTTCCTTTGGCACCGTCTTCTTTTTGACTATTTGAGGCGATGTAATAAGTACATTTGTCCAATGTAAGATCCGTAAAGTCAATCAATCAATAAATAAAAACACTTTTAAAAAAAAACATAAATTCATGTACAGGTTTACTTATTGAACATAAATGTTGCCCTTCTGAGGGTTTCTGAAGGCAAATCTATGTTTTTTATGGTCCAATATTGTTTCACAAACCTAAAAAAGTAATGTACCATTTTAATAATGGAGAAACTATTAGTCAGCTTAATTTTTTTAGTACATATAAAAACTATTTATTTTGTGAGAATGTGTTTATTTACGAGCAACTATGCAAATTAACAAACATTTAGAAAAAGTACACTATATTATACTATTTTCCATGTGAATCCCAGATTGTTCATGCTTCCTTGCCTTTTCTAAAAAGTGTTTTAAATCAGTCCTAGTTGTCTTTATCCATGCTGTGTCAGATCCTGACGTTTGCAAAAAGGAAGCAGGTAAAGCAGAATAAAGCGTTAGCCTCGCTGCATGCAGTTAGCCTCGCTGCATGCAGTTAACATCGCTGCATGCAGTTAGCCTCGCTGCATGCAATTAGCCTCGCTGCATGCAGTTAGCCTCGCTGCATGCAATTAGCATCGCTGCATGCAGTTAGCATCGCTGCATGCAGTTAGCCTCGCTGCATGCAATTAGCCTCGCTGCATGCAGTTAGCATCGCTGCACGCATTTAGCCTCGCTGCATGCATTTAGCCTCGCTGCATGCAGTTAGCCTCGCTGCATGCAGTTAGCCTCGCTGCACGCAGTTAGCCTCGCTGCACGCAGTTAGCATCGCTGCAAGCAGTTAGCCTCGCTGCATGCAGTTAGCATCACTGCACGCAGTTAGCCTTGCTGCACGCAGTTAGCCTCGCTGCATGCAGTTAGCATCGCTGCATGCAGTTAGCCTCGCTGCATGCAGTTAGCATCGCTGCATGCAGTTAGCATCGCTGCATGCAGTTAGCCTTGCTGCATGCAGTTAGCATCGCTGCATGCAGTTAGCCTCGCTGCATGTAGTTAGCATCGCTGCACGCAATGTTGCCCTTCTGAGGGTTTCTGAAGGCAAATCTATGTTTTTTATGGTCCAATATTGTTTCACAAACCTAAAAAAGTAATGTACCATTTTAATAATGGAGAAACTATTAGTCAGCTTAATTTTTTTAGTACATATAAAAACTATTTATTTTGTGAGAATGTGTTTATTTACGAGCAACTATGCAAATTAACAAACATTTAGAAAAAGTACACTATATTATACTATTTTCCATGTGAATCCCAGATTGTTCATGCTTCCTTGCCTTTTCTAAAAAGTGTTTTAAATCAGTCCTAGTTGTCTTTATCCATGCTGTGTCAGATCCTGACGTTTGCAAAAAGGAAGCAGGTAAAGCAGAATAAAGCGTTAGCCTCGCTGCATGCAGTTAGCCTCGCTGCATGCAGTTAGCATCGCTGCATGCAGTTAGCCTCGCTGCATGCAATTAGCCTCGCTGCATGCAGTTAGCCTCGCTGCATGCAATTAGCATCGCTGCATGCAGTTAGCATCGCTGCATGCAGTTAGCCTCGCTGCATGCAATTAGCCTCGCTGCATCAGTTAGCATCGCTGCACGCATTTAGCCTCGCTGCATGCATTTAGCCTCGCTGCATGCAGTTAGCCTCGCTGCATGCAGTTAGCCTCGCTGCACGCAGTTAGCCTCGCTGCACGCAGTTAGCATCGCTGCAAGCAGTTAGCCTCGCTGCATGCAGTTAGCATCACTGCACGCAGTTAGCCTTGCTGCACGCAGTTAGCCTCGCTGCATACAGTTAGCATCGCTGCATGCAGTTAGCCTCGCTGCATGCAGTTAGCATCGCTGCATGCAGTTAGCATCGCTGCATGCAGTTAGCCTTGCTGCATGCAGTTAGCATCGCTGCATGCAGTTAGCCTCGCTGCATGTAGTTAGCATCGCTGCACGCAGTTAGCCTCGCTGCACGCAGTTAGCCTCGCTGCATGCAGTTAGCATCGCTGCATGCAGTTGGCCTCGCTGCATGCAGTTAGCATCGCTGCATGCAGTTGGCCTCGCTGCATGCAGTTAGCCTCGCTGCATGCAATTAGCCTCGCTGCATGCAGTTAGCCAAGCCTTGTCCATCCTGTCAGACATGGATGGAGGGATGCTGCACAGGTCCTGGAAAAAGACAGAGTGAACTGTCTCCATCTGTCTTTGGACTGCAGATTAATTTTAATGTTCGGCTGATCAGGTCCAAACCGTTTCACTTCCAGCTTTTCTTTGTAAGTTTGCTTCCCTTCCTCTTAATCAGCCGCACAACAACTGTGACAACATTTCCTGTCACCTCAGGGCATAGCTTTGGTACTCCCATACTTTGTACTGCAGAGGAGCTACTGCGAATGGACAACTTTTAAAGAGAGTCAATGGCCAAAGATTTTAGCGCAGTAGGCTAGAAATATGTCACCAATGAGACCAAAAACGAAATGACGTTTTACTCGTCCTAAAAGCTTAAATATTTATCTTGCACAACTAAGAAATATACATTAATATATTTCAAAATATTTTAATTTTATAATTTCATTCTTATTTTATTTTTTTTATGTCTTAATCAAGGTCATTGGGTAGGCGGGGCGGCGCCCTAGCGCCCTCTATTGGCCAGCCGGTCACCACTTAGATAGTAAAATAGAAATTCTTCATTGACAACTTCAAATCTCCTCCAGTTAACTTTCTTAAAGCAAATTGAATATTTAATTTCTAATGGTACAAATACTCAATTCTATCAAACTATTTTACAAATAATATAAATAAGCCTTTAGCCGATATTTTTGAAGTTAAAATAAATGTTAAAATTTAGGACACAAATGTCTATGAAAATAAATAGATTTATAATAGAGAGCAAAAGGGCTCTGTCAGGAACACATCCTATCATCACAAACATAAAGTCCACAGAACTTTAAACGTATAGAGGACAATCTTTTATTTTCGGGTGGATCACATAAATGAGTGGTTCACCTAACTGTCAATCATTCTGGTGATATGTTTACGTAACGCCGTCATACGTGCTCCTCCTGTTAGCTATCTTTTCTCCACATGCGCACTTTCAGGCGTATATCTGTGGAGAGCGACGGTTTCATCAAGTCATTGAAGCTCACCTTTCTCACCATGGTTCTTTAAAAATGGCCAAGGGTCGAAATAGAAAAATTCACTATGAAGTGTATGAGAAAAAAATAAAGGCCACAAAAGAGGCCGATATATTTCATAATACTTTCCGTGGAGAGCTCTCCTCGCAGAGCATTATGGGATTTGCTGTCACCGCTACCCGACAGCAGCGACTAATAACAAAGATGGCGCAGGTACCGCGCGGTGGAGGAGGAGTTACATGACCAACGAGGCAAAAAGCAGTGATCATCTGTCTGAACGGTCAATAACTGAGTTTGCTATAGAATCCACTATATAGTCCCCGCTGTATGTGGACACAGGAAGCTTGTATGAGCTATGAGAAAAGCACGTTTTAAACAGGGCGTGCACGAGGAGAATGGGCTCATGCACGCTCTTGCACAAGCATTTTTTTCTTAAAGTGTGGGGAGGGGCTTTTAAAAAATCCTCTACAATACAATTAACTCGACACTGTGGAACAAAGATGTGAAAAGAACACCTTGTGACAAGAAGATGGAGGATCCGTGATGCTGTGGGCCTATTTCTCTTATTAGAGCGCATGGAGACACCATCTCTTTGGAATAAAACCCCAACATCAATAACAGAGATGCCAAATCTATGAGCTTAGAGCTTATAGCCTGTAGGGTTAACCTGTATTCCAACCTAACGGGGGAAAATGGACTCTAGACTGTCTGGAGAGATTAAGCAAAGTGAAAGACACAGGCTTCTCTCTCTCTCCTATAAGATCTTAAGAGAAGAATATTGAATTCCGCTTGATTGGAAGGACAAAGAAACGAGGACATCAGAAGATACAGCTTCTACAGATTAACAAACCTCCCACGGCCAGCTCCAAAACTCTTCAAAAGCTCTCTTCGTGGGCAAAAGCAGGGATGAGATCACACCATAAGTATTTAAAGTGTAGGTGTTTCCATGGTAACCGCTAGACGCCGGCAGGGAAGAAGTCCTAACTGATGCTGCAGAGGCCGTGGGAAAAGCTGATGGAGGCTGATTCAATCATGACTCACGTCTGTTGTTTTCTGATGGTGGGACTTCAGAGCGTTTGTCTGAAGGAGCCGCAAAACATGCGAAAAGAAAAAGAGTCGTGACAGAAGGTGTGAGTAAACGGTGATTCACAGACATGAATGTCAATTAATCCATCAGTTAATCCAACAGAACTTCAGAGGAGTTTTCTTCAGCAACACGCTGGGATCAAATATTCTGTTTACCAATTCTGACTCAATAAAGCCTTTACACAGTCCTCCTGGTTACATGTTCAAAGCAGAACCTTGCTGGGGAAGGTCATCATTTTGACTTAAAGAACAGTTCAATGAAAAAAAGGGTTACCAAAGGAGCAGAAATTTGAACTTGGGGGGGGGGGGCAACAGGTAACAGACCTTTAACCAAATATTCGATAGAGGCAGGCTGCTCAGTGGCGCAGTGGGTAGGTTGCGGGTTCTTTCTTCTTGGAGTTTCCATTTTCTCCCTGAGCATGTGTGGGTTCTCCCTGGGTACTCCGGCTTCCTAGCCTTGTGAGACCATCCTGATATCGCGAGCTTTCAAGGTTTCACTCGATAATCAGTCTGGAGACTCTCCGTTAAAGAAAATTTGGAACCGTTCACCAAACGAACGTCCAATCAGCGTTGGCTTTGAGGCGGGTTGAGGTGTGACGCAACGAGAAGCGCGACAGTTCAGTCTAAAGAACATGGCGGCTTCAGCCGATGAAACTAACGTTAGCGTGGCTATGGAGCAAGTTTTATCGGAATTACAGAGTATTTCTTCACTGAAAGAAGAGCAAAACACTGCTCTGGAGGCTTTTCTCAGAGGAAAAGATGTTTTTGCTCTTCTCCCGACTGGTTTCGGCAAGAGCAGCAAGAATAGCCTGGCTTGTGGTTGTGTTTTCGTCGTCGCTCTGTTAGTACGTCATATGCTTCGTTGATCTGATTGGTTTATTTGGCCCGTCTATCACCAACATAGGCCAATCAGCTAACCAGTATTTTCGTCCCTTCCCAAAATTACTTCAACGGAAGGTTTCCAGATGGATATGCAGACCAAATCCAGCAAATCCATCTGGCGGAGTCAGGTTAACGGCTTCCTCCAACAGTCCAAAAACATGACTGTTAGGTTAATTGGCTTCTGTAAACTCTTCTTAGGTGTGAGTGTGTGTGAATGTTTGTTTGTCTCTGTGCTGCCCTGCGATGGACTGGCGACCTGTCCAGGTTAGACCCCACCTCTTGCCCATAGACAGCTGGAGATAGGCACCAGCGAACCCCTCGTGATTAAGCATATCAGAAAATGGATCGATGGGTAGATAGAGGTTTGGATAGATGAGAGAAACTAGAAAGAAGGGTTGGAACATGATGGGTGAAAACTTCGGGCACAAACTGGAACTGGAAAAATGGTCCCCACATTGTGAGAGATACATGCCCTCAAACACACCGACCTACTCCTGTCTTGCTTTAGAAATTATAATTATTATTACCGGATCCTGATCTGTTATGCCTCTTTACCACTGAGCCTGTTCCCGTCTGATTTGTTTGCCTGACCTGTCTTTGGACTCCTGCTGGATTCTGATTATTTGCTGAACTAGGAGCTGCTTCCTGTCAACCTGAATTTCCCTTTGGAACCTCTTTGGACCTCTGATCTCCTGGTTCTGAATTCTGAATACATCCTTGACGCTAACTTTGGCTTCGCCCTCTGGATTGTCTTGCCCTCCTTCGACTGCTGGGATCATATCTCCTGCTTGTTCTCCGTCCTCCGGGGCCGGAGGGTCTTATTGTCAACCGACCGACTGGAATCAACCATGTTCTCTGGGCAAAGACTGAACTATTAAACCAGGTTAGTGACTCACATGTTCATAATCTTCCTCCATCAGATTAACGTAGTCACTAACCTATGTTTTCTTTCTGCAGAGATTCTTGCCATAGACATCCTAGCCGCTGCTACTGCACTTTGGCTTTATAATAAACACTGTTTGAGTAATCATACTGTCTGTCTGCCTTGAATTCTGGGTCCCCTGTTCTCAGCCTTGACATGATGTTCTATAGTCATATGTAAAACGTTATGGAACCTACATAGGGACCACAACTGCAAATTTTTCTTCTCTTAGAAATCCTGAATACACTTCAAAAATCTGATAAACAACCTTATGATTCTGACAAACTAAATGAGCTAAAAGAGCTGGGATTAAAGTGGAGGTCCTGTTCAGTTTTTTTCAGATAATCTAAACCAATCAACCGTTTTTCTTTAGCTCTGCCTCCTTAGCTGGAACCAGTCAGACCAGAACCAACCGCAGATGGCTGCAGGGGAAAACAGAACATCCAAAGTAACACTGTGTTTCTCATTATGACGGATCCCGGAGCCAGCGCAGCAGCAGATAGATTCTCTCTGATGATTCTGGCTTATTTTGCAGGTGTTTCACTGTTCTGGTTCATTTTCTCTTCTCGCTCTCACCACCACCTTGAGTAGTTCAGATCATCTCTGGAGCACGGTGGGACGGGGACAACAGTTCCATCTGTGCAGCACGAGGTCTATTTGTGGATCACAGTGTGGCGACTCCAGCCTGACAAACGGACCGGGAGGGGGGGCTTCTGTTCTGCAGGATCTGCCATCAAAACAGCTGATTCTTTCTTTTTATTGAGGAGGCCTCTGTGTCCACAGATGTATACTAATTAAACCAGAAATGTTAATTTAAATTAAATCAAAAAGTTACGTAAACAGATCGGTGCAAACGGTGCATGTCCAGTATGCTATGCTACAGGAACAAAGCATCAGCATCATTCTCTTTGCAGAAATAAGAATCTAATATTAGCCTGTTGACAGCTATAAGCTCAGAAGAGTAGCGCTTCAGAGACCAGCTGCTGTTATAAGAGTGATGGATGCAGATCATTTACTTAAGAAACGCCACCTGTCAGCCAGCTGACCTGCAGTGTGCAGCAACAGGTACTCTGCTACTCTATCCTTTGCACAGCAGTAAAACCTGAGCTTCATCTGGTTCTTTCCTCACCATAGATAAATGGATCATGACAGAAACTTTTAGCTTATTTTATTTTTGGGTGAGTGATGAGTAAACCGGCTGCAACTGAAGAAATGACCTGAGAAATCACTGATTTCAGGAATAAACCACCAACACATCACCAGGCTGAGATACTATCAGGTGTTGGAGACACACACACTTAGAAGAAACTGGGATTTAATGAATAAAAAGTCCCATATCTAATGAGGCAGAAAAGAATCAGCCAATAAACCACCTCCTGAACAGAGAGGAGGAGCGAAACACAAAGCTGGGATTGGTTGGAATTTGGTCATTATTAGTCTGAACAGAATCAGGAGAGAAGAGGCCAAAACCGGTTAAACCGACCTGGAATTAGTGCACAAAGTTCAGGCCAGTCGGATCCATCTAAGGTGCTGCTGATGCCAAAGCCTACATTAAAATAACAATCAAAGCAAAGTGAGGTTTACAGAACAGAGCTGTGTTCGCTGGAAAAAAGATCCAACCAAGGTAGAATCAGTCTGAATAGTTAGATCTATAATGGTAACTATATGATTCCTTAAAAAGAGTGAAATAACCCTTTACTGAAGCGTTGAATCAAACGCCAGCTTCAGGATTACCAGATGCACAATTACAGCTTTGAAAAAACAAATGTCTCTACTTTTTGTTCCTGATTATTTAGAAAGTGAAACTTTTGAAACATTTCACACAGAGTGAAATATTTCCAACCTTTATCACTTCAAACTCTGATGATTCTGATAGAAGTTTATTCTGAATTACGGGGAAGAACGATTTATTTATTGTTTCAGAAAATTGGAATACTGTAAAAAGGTAGAGCACAGATCCCAGGAAGTTGATTCAATTCAATTCAGTTTATTTCTTTAGCTCCAATTCACAACATGTCTTCTCAACGCACTTTACAATTCAACCAGATCATCCAGTAAAAGTTTTCTTTCTAAGGAAAACCAGTTGATTGCATCGACTCATTGACTCGAATGCAATCCCTCACAATAAGCATGCTTGTAGCGACAGTGGAGAGGAAAAACTCCCTTTGAACAGGAAGAAACCTCCAGCAGAACCAGGCTCAGTGTGAGCGGCCATCTGCTGAGGCCCACTGGGGTTCAAGGAGACAGAAGCAGACATAGAAAAAGAAGCATAGATACAAAAGGCAACTGTCAACCAGCTCCACAGGCGGCCCCGTCCAGGAAACACACGGCCAGGCAGATTGGAAGGGGAAATGTGTGGTAAGAGGAGGTTGCATCAGCAACAGTAATAAACACAGCTTTAAGTTCATAAGGAGTGCACTGAGGCTGGAATCAGCCCATCAGGATCCACTACTCACAGACTGATAAGGAGAACCAGAACTAGGCTGTGACCCGGTCCATTTTACATCTACCAGAACATTCTAGATGCCTCATGCTCCATTCTGCTGACCATGTTGAGATGATTATTTTATTTCCCAGACACGGTTCCAATACTGACAAAGGTACCAGAAGCTGGTCCAATGACCACGGTGCTACTGGTCCTGATTGGCCAGAACTTGCCCATGATGTCAGAAGATAAAAATATACTAAAATATAAATTTATTAATAATATGGACTGAAGTGAGTTTCTGAGTTTCACAGTAATGGTAAACGACAGATGGAGGGAGAGGAAGGAAGAAGGTCGTTAGGGTGTATGTTAATGAAATCAACACGTCAACAGAACCAGAACTCTTTCAACAAACAGCTGAGGTTTAAAGCTGGTGACCTGCTGCTGCCCCTGAGGTCTCCCTCCTGCTCTAACCAGATTAAATTCAGACTAACGCAGTTAAAAGGCAGATGGCGGGGGGGCACCCTGTCCCTGAACTCTGCTTAAGCACAGAGAGGGCGGAACTGGGAAGATTAGGGAACCTTGAATGCATCAAACCAAACATCTCCAGCCAACCCCTGGAACATCAGAAACGCCTTAGAACAGAACCATCTGGTTCAGGTTCTTCATGCAAAAAAACAACAAGGAGAACATCACCAAACAGA